TTCCAAGAAATTATCGATTTTTCTGGGACGCTCTTACCATCTCCACTCCACTCGGATTCCCGTTTCACCAACTGAATCGGCTTCTCCTCCGTGCTTGAACCGGGAACGATCCCGTCCAAGATCCCCATGTTTCCGAGATGTACCGACTGCATTGATGAATGGATCATCCCTGAATACCCTAATGGTATATCACTGTTTGACCGCCTGTGGCCCTCACGAGGAGGCAATTTATCGGTGATAGCAGCAGTCTCATTGCTTCGAGAAGTCGGCCCTGACTTGTCATCCATTGACACGTCTTTCGATCCGATCTCACCCGTAGTAGGAGAAATAGACGGCTCCTTAAACGGTGTCGGGCTAAAAGGAGGTAAAGAATCAAGTGAAAAGAATGAGGGCTGAGACAAGGACCTCGAATGGGAAGGGCCCGGGTTCGGGTTCCTTGAACCGAGTTGTTGATAACCTAAACGAGACCCTATTGCCTGATGAGGATAAGCAAAGGTAGCCGGATTGTTTGGATGAGAAGGTGGTATACCAGGTCTCTTGTTGCTCTCAGAGTTAAAATTCTCCATTTTCTATGCTACAAACCCTAGAAATCAACTCACGAGCACAGAATTTCCGACCATCAGACAGAAACCTTGAATTCTAACACACTCTATCTCTATGTCTCCGTCCGCTCTGTTCAACAATCTGATCGGTCAAAGTCTTAATTCGCTTGCAGAGACTTGTGTCCTAAGAGAAAATACTAGCAGAGTGGAGATTACAAGAATCAAACACGAACATCACCAAATCCAGTAACACCCAACCGAGAACTAGTATTACGGATACATAAAGGACGTATATATATATCTGCGTGTATATATGTATATACCTGGGTAACAAAAACCCTAGCCCCCCCCCCTCTCTCAAGCTGCAATGAACAGAGATCAGGGAAACAAAGCGGCAAACGATCTTCGGAAATGGAAAGGCAAATCGGAAATGCCCGAATCCGGCGGCAGATTTTCTCAGACAGTTTCGGACTCGCATACATACAAGATGGTTCTGTCCGAAAAATTTAAGACCAAAAACAAAAAAAAAGAAAAGAAAAAAGAAAAGATAAAATTGGAAAAATATATGTTCCCAAGTTTCCTCAACCCATCATTTATGTTTTCTTACATTTTTGGCCCTTATGTTCGTATGTTGTCTTCTACACAAATATATACATATACGTATTAGATGAAAACTATTCTTTTGTAATTACCTTGAGAGGACACAAATTTTTTTTAACTCAGTAAATTAACAAAGACCTATATTATCAAAAGAAACTGTACAAACAAAAAAAGCTTTATAAATCCAAATAGTATTTTGGAAATAGAAATTATATGATTATTTGCCCTACTTCGGGCTGAAATTGACTATTTAAAAAGATGTGGAGGATATTTGAATAATTTAAGAATACAGGGATGGAATCTGAAAGAAAATCCAAGGGGTAAAAAGAGGGAGATCGTTTTCCCTTTTGAGTTACGCTCTTTATGGCTCTGAACTGAGTGGACCTTTGGTGTGTACAATGTACATAACTGCGTGAAAGGTTTAATATTAAAATAATTTTAAAAAAAAAACTAAAAATAAAAGATAATTTATTTCACGCGTTTTCTGGATTTACTTAGATATATTATATTATTTCGCCGCCATGTCTTCTCCCTTTATCTCCGCCACGTCTTTCGCTGAGACATTTTGTTTCGTGAAACCTATATATTATGTTATTTAATATTTTTTATCAAATGAATGACGCCCGTATTTATTAAAATATGTTACAAAAATCGAGGAGTGATGTTTCATATTTTATTCTAGTTTCTTATTTCCAGATTGAGATTTTTCCATTTTTAAAATAAACTTATTCATTTTTATGTTTAATTTTATTTAGATTTATTATTTTAAAAATATTTTCATTATATTTCCATATTATTTTTAGATTTAGTTTTATTAAATTTCTGGATTTTATTAATTTTATTTTATAAAAAAATTTATTTGATTAATTTTAAATTATATTAACTAAAATAAATTATATGTTATTCTTGGTGTTTTTTTTTTCTTATTATTTTGGATATTATCCACTAAGGGATAGAAGTAGATCTAGAGTAGATTGGGATAAAATAAAGATATTATCATATAATTAAATATATAGGATATTAGTATCTGTTAATAATTTGTTTTACCAATTAAGGTTTAGGATTTACTATAGAAACATAAATCCACTGAACATCAATAATAAAGTATTTTGTTCTCCTATCCCGAATTTCCTATAGGTTGTGGGATTTTATTGCATTTTGTCCAAAGCGAAAAAACAATCTATGGAGAAGAAAAATATTATAATTCGTTATTAAAAAATTGAGATGCGTACACAGAGTTAGAGCAGGGGTCATTTCGGGTTTCAGTTCGAATTCGATTTGTTTATATTCGGATTTGGTTATTTCGATTATAGAAAAACTCTAACCATTCAATTTTTATATAAACTTCAGTTTGGTTCACTTCGATTCGGTTTCGGTAAAAATTTCATTTTTTCCAAGAAATTATCGATTTTTCTGGTTATTTTTTTATTCTCTTCGATTCAGTTCGGTTTCGATTTTTTCGGATTAAAAAATCATAACTGTTTGGTTTTGATGTCGGGTTCGGTTCGAATATAGTTATGTCTTATTCGATTCGGTTCAATTCGATTATTCAGTTAATAACCGAAATGGCAACCCTAACAGGTTTGCACTTTAATTTGAGTTATAGAAGTGAATTAAACAGGACTAAAAACATAACCGGATGTTTTGCATTTTATTCTCCTATCCAATTTTTTAAATGAAAAAAATAAAGAAAAGGAGATAAAAGAATTTTTTTGATAAATGTTATTTAAAATAAATATGACAAATAATAAAAGAAAACAATTTTCCTATATTACTTATTTAATGAAAACAAATCTAAGTAGAACCAAAACACATGGATATGATTTATTTAGAATAAATTAACCGAATAATAAATCAAATATAACCGAATTCGATATAATAATCTAGTGTTTATAATTTTTATAAACTCGAAAAAACTGAATCCAAATTGAATCGAATCGAATAAAAAATAACCAAAAAAATTAAAAAAATTCTTTAAAAAATTAAGTTTTTTAGCAATAAAAAAATCTAATCCAAAACTGAACACATAAAACCAAAAACGAAGTTGATATAAAAATTGAATGATTATAATTTTTTATAACCAATCCAAACCCGAAGCCCAAAAATGACCACATCTAATCACTTCCCTCAAACACTACGCCACGGCCGAAGAAGATCTTTTGTTTAAAAACATTTATTTTAAACTTTTAACATCTATAAATCCAAATAGACTTTAAAAAAATTCTTAAATATTTTTCCATTAAAACTTCGATCGACAACAAATTCAAAGAAAATTTCTAGTTTTATAAAACCTCAAAAGTGTACATTTATAAAGATTGAAATTCATTAGAATTTATAGATATTTAAAATTTTAAATGAATAGTTTGATTTAGATTTTCCCCCTTTATTTAAACACTGTTTAGGCTTCATGTTTGAACCAATAAAAAGATTAGAAACATATTCATTAATTTGAAATGATCTTCCACTATTTTTTTAAAAAAAGATCTCGTGGATGCCTCATCTAATAAATTGGATTAAATCCGACCAATCTAATTTTTTTTACTATAGTAAAATTTTGTTATACAATCTAACCTGAAGTGAGATCAGAACCTAAACCAATTAAACCAAATAACGTGGTTATCTTTTATCAACACAAACTAATCAAATAGTCCAAAACCGTACGAGGAAATGGATCTAGCTTTACTTTCCAAAGTTTGGTTTACCAATTCAAGCACGTGCTCAAGTTTTCCAAATTATACAACAAGCGCCTGACTTACAATTTTGCATTTTTAAAGGTCAAACATATGAATTTATTCCATTGACCCCATTGTACTTATTACTTGAATAAGTTTCAAACAACTCAATAACGTCTAAGCTGCTTTACCTGATCGTGATGTAGCGGTTCGTCCCGTGCTTGGCCCAATGGTCCTTGAGATCGACAGGATTCGATAGATCATGCCCTTCAGCAGCAAGTCGGCTCAGCAGCTTGTTGAAGGCGCTCCCGCTCATTTTCCTGCCTCCGACTCGGGCATGCCGCTTGTTGGGCAGAGCTGGTAGAGGATACATTGACAATGTTGTGGTGCAACAAGAAGATTGCCACCCTCCATTCCCCCATTTGTAGCATTGTCGGAGAACTCCGGTACACGAGCACACGGGCGGTGGCATAGTTGTCTCGTCGTAAACAACTTGGTTCAGCCCCATTTCTTGGCCTTTCCAATCAGATTTCGATCCTCCTACTTCATCCTCATTTGCGTAGTCGTGGGTTTTCACGAACATTATCTTGTTCAAATCCTCGCTCTCTTTCTTGATCTTCCTCTGATTCTTCGATCCTTTCTTGTTAGAGGGTGTTGCCTTTGGCTCTTTCGGTCTTTTACCTCGTTTCGGTTTGGCAGATTCAGCAGCTCCAGCAGGTGATGTCGGGATAGTGTCATTTGGCTCTAATTCTCTTGTTCCATAAGTGGTTTCGCCCATCTGGGTCATGTGATGATGGTGCATGTGATGTTGCTGCGGGTGATGCACATGCTTCACACCACGGGAAATTTGACATCCCGGTGGACATGATGAGGACATACCAGCAGCAGTTGCCATGGAGTTCTCACGGTATTGAAGGGCCGCAAGTGCATTGTCTCTCTCCATTATCGCGTTGTTACGCTCAGCTATAGCTGTGTCTCGCTGAAGGAACGCCATGTCTCGTTCAGCTATGGCCGCCTTTTTCTCTGATATCGCCAGATTTCTCTCTTGGATTGCTGCATCTCGTTCTGCTATTATCGCCATCACTTGTTTCATTGATGGCTGATGCTGCATCAACCACTGCATCATTAAGACTAATAGTTTAGTTACAATCAGAGAGAATATGCGAAAGATAAGATATATTGCAGAAACAGAAACAACACCAGAATGATTCTTGGGAAAAAAACACATTGTCAGGGTTACCTGGCTCTGAGCCGTTTTATACTGATCTGCTTTATGCCGACCATTCTCACGATGTCCCCCATCATCCATTGCGAGATCTCCAAAGGCTTTTCCTCTCAATAAATGGATTGATCAATTATACAAAAATTATCATTTAAGAAGATCGTACATGAATTCCATGGCGTTTTTCTGCACACAAAGCCAGAAAGACAACGGAGTTGTCAGCATGTATTCTATGCTACAATAGCATAACTAACTATACCAATACATGTATACAAACCACAATGAAAAGAAAAATTAGCAATTCGAGGACTACACACGATTAGAAATGAAGCAGGAGTAGCTAATTACACATCATTTAAACACAGGGCTGCAACCACCAATGCCCGATGCATTGCATGCAACAGGAGCATTTAATGAGGAACAGCTCGACAACACATATCTGTCAGTAATATAGTGTACTAACTAAAGAAGTCATGGAAGTATATTACCTGCAATGACGAAACTGTAAGCTTAGATAACAAGGCAGTATGGACAGGTATCGATGCTTTCATCAAGCTAATCATGTAAAAGTGCAACTCATAACTTGATCCCAATCATGAAAAGAAATACTTCCAAAAATCAAAACCATTACCAACAACCTACAACTTAGCAAATCCGTTATCTTCCAACTCTTTCTAATCTGCAAAAATATGATCCTGCCAGTTACTCTCCAGCTCATCCTACAGAAATGAGAACTCATTAGTTCAAGACATGACATAAATCACTTGCCCCACGAGAACTTTTAGTTCCAAAATTCATGCGACAAATTTCGAGTTGAAGGCACAGTCACGGTACCAAGAATTCTAGATTTCAGCGAAATCCCAGTAACTGGGTTTTGAGCACTCTAAAGTAACCAAAATCTTCTCCAACTTGTCGACAATGAAAGTTCCTGTAGCCCTAAAAGATAAACCAAATGGCCCAAGAAAGAGGTAATTCTCATTTGAAATAACTGCAAAAAGCCATTCGAACTGTAAGGCTTAGAGCAAAGTATATTGTTTTGCTCAAGTTAACTAAATCAGTTCTCGCGCTTCTCAGAGCTCTAACCACAGTCACTAAACTTAATCGGAACCTGAAATCCGAGGATGTTCAAGCAAACCACCCGAATAGTACATCCTAACAAGAAAACTCGAACTCAATCGAGCTCCGATCACAAGGAAATCAACTCAGAAAACTCTCCGAGCAAGGATTAGCACACGGCAAACGAATCTCTGTACAGAAACCGACGATTAAAGCGGTCAAATTGGAAATGATTGACGGAGAAAGAGCAATGGAAAGTTACCGGAGACAAATTACGGAGAAGGAAGCCGGAAAACGAGAGAGAGAAACCCTAATCGAGTTGCGAGGAGGGGGAAAACTCTGTGGAAGAAAACGATAGTGGAAGAAGAGAAGGGGCAGAAGAATTTCTTTCTTTTTTTTTTTTTTTTTTGTGGGTAATTGATAATTCACATCATCTGTCTCTGTCGAAGTTTTTTTTCCTATCTTTTCGTTTACTTTCTTTTTACAATTTATATATACAGTTTCGTTTCGGGTATTGTGGAATTATTTTTTTATTTTATTTTATTCTGAGAGCGGGAAATAAGAAGAATATGATATGTTTTGTAAATAAAATTTATTTCTCCTCCGTAATATAACAAAATTTTCGTTTTTTTAGAACGTGTATAGCAGACTCTATATATCACCAAGGACCGGCAATTGAGTATCCAAAAACCTTGAAATATTCTAAAGATTTTCGATTATTAAGAATTAAAAAAATAGATAATAGATCCGGAATATTCTCTGGGGAAAAAAACGATAGTGTAAGAAGAGAAGGGGCAGAAGAATTTTTTTTTTTTTTTTTTTTTTTTTTGTGGGTAATTGATAATTCACATCATCTGTCTCTGTCGAAGTTTTTTTTCCTATCTTTTCGTTTACTTTCTTTTTACAATTTATATATACAGTTTCGTTTCGGGTATTGTGGAATTATTTTTTTATTTTATTTTATTCTGAGAGCGGGAAATAAGAAGAATATGATATGTTTTGTAAATAAAATTTATTTCTCCTCCGTAATATAACAAAATTTTCGTTTTTTTAGAACGTGTATAGCAGACTCTATATATCACCAAGGACCGGCAATTGAGTATCCAAAAACCTTGAAATATTCTAAAGATTTTCGATTATTAAGAATTAAAAAAATAGATAATAGATCCGGAATATTTAAATTTTAATGTAAAAATATTTGGATATTCATAATAAGAATTCAAATTTAAAATTTTAAATATAGTAAACTTGTTGAAATTTTTGGTATTACATTTTTTTTTCTTATCCGTATCTTCGGTTTATATAGACACACAAACTAATTCGAAAATTTTTAAACCGATTAAGATTTTATCTTTACTTAATAAAAAAATCATATTTTTTATCATAGCTTTTCACGATAAGCTTTTAAATCATCGGAATAAATTTGTATTCCCTATATTTTCGAAGTTTTTCTGGATAATTAGATTATTTCACCATACATTCGACTGAACTACATTTATATTAAAACGAAAAACACCCTTAATGCAATTAAATTATATCATTTCCAACGACTATTCGAATATAAAAACTAGGACAATGACACATCACCCTTCTCAACTAGCTACACAATTAGCTATTCCGGTGGGATTTATTCTCAAAATTTATTATAGATTTTCGTTGCATATGACAATGGACTTTGCATTACCATATATTGATATTTTTCAACGGAAATTCGTTCAAAAGTATAATCCGTAAAAATACCGTCTAAATACTAATGCTACTAGTCAACTCATACCACTCTAGATACTAATGCAACTCAGTGTCACTAAAAGATTCATGCTGACTCTAAAACACTAATGTGATTCATTGAGGAAGAGCAATTCTAGATACAAACAAAATTAACAATACGACTCTGCGACTCAAGTACTAGGACTTGTTACCATGTGACTTTTTGATCATCGGCTCTACAACTCTTAATTGTAAGACTTACCGACCTATGCGATTTCATTACTCTTGAAACACATGTGATCAAGTGACCTACATGATTTTATTACTCTTGCAACTTTTGATTAATGTGATCAATTGACCTAAGTGATTTCATTACTTTTGCAACTTGCTGACCCATGCGGCTTGTTGATCCATGTGACTAGTTGACTCATGTAACTCCATTATACTTTTCGACTTACTGATCCATGCGGTTAGACTATCTATAGGACTAGTTAATTTTGTTTGGAAATATCGATTCTTCGTGGAAAGTTCGAAAACCTTTTTTTTTTTTATATTTGAAAGTCTCCAAACCATAAATAACACCAAATTACAAATCGAAAATCATAACTTAACATGTCATTTTTACTTCGTCGATCCTTTTGGCCATGGATGAATCCTCGTTAAATGGGATAGAGTCACGCACCACTTTTAATTAAGTTAAAAATATGAATTTCTTTATAGATTTTATAAAATTCTAAACAAAATTATCAAATACCCTCATAAAAATAAAAATCGCCTCTACAAAATTATATGTATAAAATTATTGTCCCCTTTTATAAATCTTTTGGTTCGTTATTGAATTTAACGTTGATGTTCGACAACTACTATGAATTGACATCAGATAAATTATAATATGTAACTATTTTAGTTTCTTTATTTACTGATTACCCCTTCAAAATCACCTATTGAAATAAAATCGTCTCTTTTTTTTTTCGAAAATTATTTCAAACGTCGAATGCGTTTTGTTCTATTTTTTTCGAATATTTATTTGAATTGAACAGTTTTTTTTTTGCAGTCAACCATTCTTTTTTCTTGTATATCCATCTTTTTCATCACACGTTCTCTCGTATAATTTAAAATAGAGATAAAAAACCTCTTTTAATTGTTTCACTTTTTTTTTTCTAAAGTACGATTTTGGAGAATAAGTGTTGAAATAAAAAACAGACAAGATAGAGTTTTTCTATATTTAATCCATACAAATTTTGGGCATTTTTATTTTTATATTATATTTTTATCCTCGTTCATAACTATACAAATTATTTTCCGATATATTGTCTATCTTTATATTGTTTCGAGCCAACCGTGTTTGATTTTTAGATTTTTTTAGCAAATCATGAAAAATATAAAATTATGTGATGTCTCAATCAACTCTTTTAAAATTTTCAATATATATTTATCTTTATATTTTTCTAAATAAAATATGTTAAATTTTGGAACTGCTTTTCAGATATATATCATCTAAATAAAATGTTAACCCTAACTTATGCTTTTAAACTTATCATGTAGAAGCGGAAAAAAAAACTATTCATGTAGATATTACTAAAAACAAAATAATGTAAAGAATAGCATTTTAAAATTTATTACAAAGTATTATATTTTAAAATATAGAGATGTCGAGAAAACTCAGATAAAGTATAAAAAAAAACAATATGCAACCGAAAAATAAAAATAAAAAAACTTCACTAAAGGGTATAATATAACCAAACAAAATGGGAATATATGTCTCTCTACCCTGTGCAAACGATGTCGTTTGGACTGCTATGTTGAACTGCGTCTGAAATTCTTAATCTCGATATTGTTGTCCTCAGGTCACGAGCTCACTTTGCTTGGAACCCTAATTTTTCTTTTCTTTTTTTTTTGGGGTTTGTGATTTGCTGTTGCTGCGGAGAATTCTGGCAACGTCTCTGTTCTCAGAGATTCCCATTGGTAACATCTTCATCATAGCAAAGCTGATTTCTTTTAGGGTTTCTTATTCGTTTTCCATACCTTACGTTTGCGTTAGGGTTCATCCTCATTGCCCCTCCTTGGGTTAGCTTTCGAATTACCAGTGTATGGTTCTGTTTTGGTTGACAACTGCGGTTGATATTTTCTTTCTGGTTCAAGAGAAGGTGTGAGAAAGTTTTAGAATTCTGCGTTGCTTCGAGAATTTGGTTCGATAGTGGAGTCCTTCGTATCTGAGAAATCGGAAGGGGACAAGATGGATGGGAAGGTGAAGAAAACGGGTTCCAAGAGAGGATCTGTGGTGGTTCAGTTCGGTGATGAGGCTGATGATGATGAACCTATTGGATCGCTGTTCAGGTTGATGAAGCATAAGAATTCAAAGAGGAATAGGGTGGAGACAGAAACCAGTGATAATAAAGGGCTGGGAGAAGTAATGGAGAAGAAATCGATCTCAGCAGTGGGGGATTCTGAAGATATGGATGATACTTTAGCTATTTTCAGGAAGCGATTGAAGGGTCTCAAGAAAGGAATCATGAAGGTTAAGAGTTCGGTATCGAGTGCTCCCAAGGAAGTCGATTCAGATTCTACTCTGAAATCACTCTCAGAGACGAATGAGGAAGGTCAGGATATGGCTGGTGGTGGAACTGATGTTGAAATGGACACTGATGGGAGGAATAAGCCCAGGAAAAATGTAAAGAAAGCCAAGACTCAATCAAAACCAGAGGCTGAGTTGATGTGTTCAAAATCTCAGGCTGCTCCATCAGGGAGAAAGACCGAGCAAGGTACGTCACTTAGGGTGTATTCAAATTACTCTTCTTTGACGGAATCAACACCAGAATGTAATGTTTCTAACAAAACTCGCTTAGGTTCCCGTTTGAACAAAAGTATAGCTAATTGTACTCGAGTCTATCTTAGAATCCAATAGTCTGCTGTATAGGGATGAGCTTTATCTTAAAGATGAGATGACTTCTTTGAGGCATGATAAAGTACAAATTTCCTCTGCAGTGTTCACCGAGAAGCAAATAGATGTAGCTGATGGATCTTCAGGTGATGAATCCAAGAGAGCATCATCAGACGATGTGCTTCATGCTGATGCTAGAAAAGAAGTTGCAGTTGTTAGTCCTAGGGACAATGATCGGGAGGTTCATGGAGAGGAGCCAGCTACGGTTTCAGCTTATTCTCGGAAGGAAAATGCCATTATGTGCGATTGTGGCATTCAAGTCAACTTTGAAGGTAGATCCTTAGAACCTAAGGGACAGGGTGCTATGTGTCAAAATTGCTGGTATTCTCTGTGTCAAGATGCTTCCAAAGGAAGTGGTGCTCAACTTCATGATGACCTTCCTGTGAAAGATGAAACTTCTCAAGCTTTACCTCTTTCTGTAGCTCCCAATGAATCTGAAAGTTTCCATGGTGATGCGGTTTCATTGCCTGATTCCGGGCTAAAGGAGGACAAGGCATCTAATGTGCTTCGCCCCGAGCGCGTTGCTCGAAAGCGTAGGCTTGGGGACATGGCTTATGAAGGAGACATTGATTGGGAGATTCTGACCAATGAGCAAGGCTTTCTTGATAGTCAAAGCGATAAGTCCTTTAAAGGGAGCGATAAGTTTGGTTCCTCACAAAATGTTTCCAAGGAAACTGACATTGGCATAGCAGCTGCAGTAACAGCTGGACTTAAAGCCAGATCTGTAAGTCCAATTGAGAAGATTATATTTAAGGAAGTGTTGAAGCGCAAATCTGGTCTCCAAGAGTACCTTAATCGCAGGTTAGTTTCCATTTATATTATCATTCTGTAGTAATTTACATGGTTCATTTTTCGTATTTCGTTAATATGGATCTACTTTAGCACAAGGTTGTACAAAAGGTGTACCTCAAGATAATGATCCCATATTAGTTTTGTTGTTGTTCGTAGAAAATCTTAAAATCCTTAATGTATTGTGTTGTTTGACATGCCTGCTAAAATCCATAGCATTTCATGCTGTCAATGTCATTCATACATGCAGTCTCAATTCTTTTGAGCTCGTTTATTCAAATTTATACTTGTTTTATTACTTGTAACTCTGCTATTTCTGTATGGCTTTAATCCAACTCTTCTAAACATCCTAGCTTTTATGTTAGTGTTTCTATTTTCTTGATGGAAACCTCCCTTTTCTATTTTGATATGATCTACCTTGTCCATCGGAACTGATATATTTACCATTCAGGAATTTCATCTTAGGTCTGTGGAGCAAAAATGTTAGCCGCATCTTGCCTGTCACTATGTGTGGTGTTGCTGGTGACCCTTCCGAGAGCGAATCTCCTTCTGCTTCCCTAATCAGAGAGGTCTACAAGTTTCTTGATCAAAGAGTAAGTTTGTGTTGTTCTCTGTAGTTAACAGGCAGACGTTTTTGTTTCCAAGCTTTTACCCATTTTTTGAGAAACTAATGGGCGCTGGTTTCTTATAGTTTGCATATGCTGGTAATTTTGACAGGGTTACATAAATGCTGGAATTGCATCCATGAGGGGCAATCGGGGATCTTCCACAAATCATGATTATGATCTCTTCCATAAGAAAAAACTTGAGGATAGTTCTATAGCTTCAGTTACTGATTCAGAGGATGGAGTTGCTTTTATCCTTGGTGAGGTTAAAGCTACTGAATCGACTATTGATGGTAAGAGAGGTGTTCTCTATGATGATGAAAATCAAGGGATAGGATGTTCAAAAAGCATGGGGGTTGTCCCTGCACCAAATGTGGATCCTTCCAACAAAACAGAGTGTAAAGCAATCCCAGCTGATGATTTCAGAGAGCATGTCAATGTAGATACTGCGCAAATTGATGCATCTGCCATGTTAAAGGCTGAAAGGTTGCCTGAATTGACATCAGTAGTGAAGCCTGATTTTGTAAGTACCCTGCCTGCGATGAAAAATGATCAAGTGGATGGAAAGGACGGTTTTCCATGTGATATGAAAGATGAGAAGAAAGTATTAGTCATTGGAGCTGGTCCTGCAGGATTAACTGCTGCACGCCATTTGCAGCGTCAGGGTTTTTCTGTCACAGTTCTTGAGGCAAGGAATAGGGTAGGTGGTCGTGTATATACAGACCAGTCATCTCTTTCAGTTCCTGTTGATCTTGGGGCTAGCATAATTACAGGCATTGAGGCTGATGTGGCATCTGAAAGAATGCCAGACCCTTCAGCACTCATCTGTACCCAATTAGGTCTAGAGTTGAGTGTATTGCATGGATTTTGTCCTTTATATGATATTGTAACTGGGCAAAAGGTTCCTCCAGACTTAGATGATGTTCTCCAAGCAGAATTCAACAGTGTAATTGATGATGTTGATTTGCTTGTTGAGGAAATAGGTAAGGAAATAGCAAATAAAATTTCCCTTGAGGATGGTTTAGAATATGGCCTTCGAAGGCTTAGGCTGCCGGATGACAAAGTGGACATTGAAAGCTTAGGGCTTGGCAATTCAGCCGTTGCTTCTCATCTGGAAGCTGGCAATATTAATGGAAGCCCTGTCCAGAATGGAAATATGGAAGATGATATTTTGAGTCCTCTGGAGAGAAGAGTTATGAATTGGCACTTTGCTCATGCAGAATATGGTTGTGCTGCTGCTCTCAAGGAAGTGTCGCTTCCTAACTGGAATCAAGATGAACTTTATGGAGGATTCGGAGGACCTCATGCTATGATCAAGGGTGGTTACAGCAGAGTTGTTGAGTCGCTTGCACAAGGACTTGATGTTCGCTTGGAAAATGCAGTTACTGAGGTTTCATATAGCTCGAATGCCTCACCCACAGTTGATAAGAAGCATAAAGTTAGAGTTTTGACTTCAAATGGCAGTGAATTTCTTGGAGATGCTGTTCTCGTCACCGTCCCTCTTGGATGTTTGAAAGCAGAAACCATTAAGTTCTCCCCATCCTTGCCAGACTGGAAATATTCTTCGGTCAAGCGGCTTGGGTTTGGAGTTCTGAACAAAGTAATTTTGGAGTTTCCGGATGTATTTTGGGATGATAGCGTGGATTACTTTGGGGCAACTGCTGAGGAAACGGACCAGAGAGGTGAATGTTTTATGTTTTGGAATGTCAAGAAATCTGTGGGGGCTCCTGTTCTTATAGCTTTGGTGGTTGGGAAGGCTGCTATTGAGTTTCAAAAGAAGAGCAAGTCTGAGCATGTGAACCATGCAATGATGGTTCTTCGTAAGCTTTTTGGTGGGGATTTGGTGCCTGATCCTGTTGCGTCAGTGGTGACTGATTGGGGCACTGATCCTTACAGTTATGGCGCCTACTCATATGTTGCCATTGGTGCTTCTGGTGAAGATTATGATATTCTGAGCAGGCCTGTTCAAAACTGTTTGTTTTTTGCTGGTGAAGCAACATGCAAAGAGCATCCCGATACCGTTGGTGGTGCAATGATGACTGGCCTCCGTGAAGCTGTGCGCATAATTGATATATTTAGAAGTGGAAATGATTATACAGCTGAAGTAGAGGCATTGGAAACAACACAGAGGAAATCTATATCTGTAAAGGATGAGGTCAAAGACCTGATGAAGAGGCTTGAAGTGGTTGAGCTATCTAATGTCTTGGCTAGGCAATCATTGCTACGGAACATGTTCTTCTCTGCTAAAACAACTGTTGGACGTCTGCATTTAGCGAAAGAGTTGTTGAACTTGCCTGTTGAGACTTTAAAATCCTTTGCGGGTACAAAAGAAGGGCTTGCAGTTCTGAACTCTTGGATACTGGTAATATCATTATACAGAGTAAAGAATATGTGTTTCTTATGTTCATGTCATGGCTTGTCAGCCTTTTTGACCTATTGTTGTTTATTGTTCCTTTTCTCTAGGATTCAATGGGGAAGAATGGAACCCAGCTCTTGCGTCACTGTGTCCATATTCTTGTTCGAGTTTCAAGTGATCTACTTGCCGTGCGTCTGTCAGGTATCGATGCCTTCCATGAGCAGCTTGGGGATCTGTACTCAGATATCATATGCAACTAGTTCTGTTATCTCTTCACGTTATTTATTTTGCTTTCCTCTAAGTTGTTTACTGTTGTCCTGTCAATATAGGCGTTGGGAAGACTGTGAAAGAAAAAGTTTGTGCGCACACAAGCCGTGACATCCGTGCCATAGCAAGCCAGCTCGTTAATGTGTGGCTTGAACTATTCCGAAAAGATAAAGCTAATGGAAGACTGAAGCCATCAAGGCAAACAAATACTGCAACTCTCTCAAGAAGGAAAGGAAGACTGAATAGTGGGGATTTGGAAAGTAAGCCAAAGGCGAGCAATGGCAAGGAAATGAAAATGGATGGAGAGCTTGAGGACAACCAGCTACCGTTGACAGAGGAAGAACAGGCTGCAATTGCCGCTGCAGAGGCTGCTCGTTCAGCGGCAGAAGCGGCTGCAAAGGTGACTTTCTACTGATTCTTCTAATAAAGAACATAATGATAGTTGCCTTTTAAATTTTATTTCCGTTTGCCTTCTCTGGAAATGGGAATATGTTTCTTACTCTTAGACCTCTCTGATAATTTGTTGACTTGTAAATTTATGCCTCTATTTCAGGCATTTGCTGAGGCCTATCATAATACATCGTTGCAGCTTCCTAAAATTCCATCGTTTCACAAATTTGCTAGAAGAGAGCAGTATGCAAAGATGGATGAATCTGATTTCAGGAAGAAATTTCCTGGAAGTGTTTTAGGAAGACAAGATTGTATGTCGGAGATAGACTCTAGGAACTGCAAAGTTCGTGACTGGTATGATTTCCCTGCAGCTTGTCTTGACATTGATAGTTCAAAGGTTCCTGTGGATAACCAATCACAGAGGAGCCATTCAAACGAGCTTGTGTCCAATCCAAAGTTCACAGAATGTTCTGGAGAAAGTGTGGCTGCAGATAGCAGTATCTTTACCAGGGCATGGGTTGATACTGGTGGTAGTAGTGAGGGCTTCAAGGATTGTCAAGCTATAGATAGATGGCAGTCTCAAGCAGCTGCCGTGAATCCTTATTTTTTCAATCGTGCTTTGCATATCAAGGATGAAGAAGATTCCAATGCATGCTCAAGACAGCCCCCTAGCCAGGAGCATGAAAAACGGGCAAATGAAAGTTCACTGTCTCAGGTTACGGTGAATAAGGAGCCTCATAAAACTCATCCTCGAGGTGCAGATCGTTTGAAACAGGCAGTTGTGGACTTTGTTGCATCATTGCTTATGCCTCTGTATAAAGCAAGGAAAATTGATAGAGATGGCTACAAATCAATTATGAAGAAAACGGCGACAAAGGTTTGTGGGTTTCGGCTTTTTCTAGTTCTTCATCTCATATAGAATGATTCTCTTAGTTGCTATTTGATATAAGAAAAAAAAAGGGACACTGCTGCCGCCGCTGCTGCAATCTTTTGTAACTCTTAGCTTTGCCAGGTAATGGAACACACCACGGACGTGGAGAAAACAATGTCTGTTTCACAATTTCTCGACTCCAAGCGCAAATATAAGGTGTGTTGTTTTACTTTCAACTCTTCGGTTACATCACTACCACAGCTGTTGTGATAAGTTCCCTGTTTGGGTGCCCCTCTTTTGTGTCAACGAAACATTGTATTCTTTCTTTTTTATTCATACTTTCTATTGCGGGAAACCTACAAGTTTCATGTTGTGAATATTCTTGGCTTATATAATGCGAAAAAATATTGTGTCTAACTTGACTTATTTTCTGAACGTATTTCTCATCACTTTGATGCGATATGCCTGCAGATTCGTGATTTTGTAGACAAGCTAATCGAGAAGCACATGGCAGCAACTCAAGCTCCAAAACCTTGACCGGCCCAGGGGTATACAAAATGTGGTTTTGGAATAACTTGGGTTGGAGCAGTTCGGTCGGTTTATTGTAGCAAGAATCGTGGCCAATGGTAGTGGAGCAGTTGGAATTCGGCTGGTTGGGCATATCTCTTCTCAGAACCACAGCATCTCTCTCTCTTTTTCTTTTCCCGGATGCGGCTATCGGCTAAGTGGATGGTAGGATGTAGATAGTTTCCTGGTGATATCATGCCATTAGACATGTGGCTTTATCAGGTTCTGGTACCAGACATGTCGGAAAATTGTTGACCTAGCTCTGATGTGCAAGTGCAAGTGCAAGGTATGAGTGATATCATATTCACTCGTCTCCTGTGTAGAACCAAGCTTCCATATGATCTGAAGGCTTCTCAGTGCATGTTCTTGTCAAGAGGATGTGAAACCAGCCCCCATCCTCTTCTTCATCATTCAGTTCTCTCATCAGATGATGATGATTCATGTTCTTGACTTCTGCTCGTTGATTCTAGTATTGTATAGAGCTCAGGATAATTCAGTTTTAACCGCCATACCAAAACATTCTTGAGGTATCTGATAACTTTCTTGAATTTTTCTAATGAACATATGCAGACATTGTTCTCATTTCCTTGAACCAAGAGGAAATTTTAGCTTTAGTATATTCCTATGATTAGTTCATCAACGATGACAGTTTTTTTTTTTAATGTCTTCTCTTAGAAAAAGGATGGCTTATGGCTTATGTCCTGACTTCCCTTTAGTAGCAAACATGTGGTAAGTCTCTTTGTACAGAGATACAGCACTTGCAGGTGTGATGAAGATCCTAAAGTTTCTCGTAGAATTCCTCCATGGATGAAGAAGAAGCTCTCAGCTCTGGCATTTTCGACTTTGCAGCAAGCTTCCGTACCTGCTGCTCTCATCCAAGGAACGGGTTTCTCAAGATGTGAAGGACCGAAGGTTCTTCCATTCTCCCGCTCTTATTAACTTGATTTACTGAAGTTCCTTGTCACATTTTCTAGGCTCGAATCCGACTTTGTTAGTAAGTTGCTGGATGTCTCTTGCTGTGGTTTTCAGGGTATTAGGCCGTCTTCTAGCTTGAGGGCGTATCGTTGCTGGGAAATAGCCGACTGCGAAATCCGACATCCAGTTATCTAAATTCACCTGTCTCTCTTCAATCTAACTGCTGATTGTACATTTCCAGTCATTTCAGTGAGAAGAAGCGGTGTTGGCGTCTTTTGGTTTGAAAAGAGACCTTTGCTGATCCGTAGCTTTGTCTTTGTTTCAGGCACATTCTTCTTCAAGAGTTCAGGATGTTTCAGGTACACAAACATATTAATGAATGCAGAATGGTATAATATATATATATACACACACACACTTCGAATTCGGTACGAACTATTATCGACATTTTAACAGATTATTCGTTTGGATTCACTTCGAGTTTTGATTTTTTTAAAGAATTTATTGCTAGTTTTTGTTAGGGTTTGATTGATAAAACTTTAGGATAGTTGCAGATTCTGTATACAATGTACACCTCGTCCTCTGAAGCATTGAAAGTTGAAGAAATAAATCGAGTTTATAGTTTTTCCAGCTCAATTATTAATCTAAATTTAGTTGTTAGGTTATAATTTTTAATGGGTATAATCATTTTTGTAGCCATTGTGATATCCAAAGTCATTTATTAAAAAAATTGAATAAAAGCCGTAATTAAATTTTCGCTTTTTATTTTTATTTTACTTCAGAAAACTGATTAGAACAAAAATTGGAACTCCAAAAAGAAATAACAACTCGAATTTAAATATATAAGGAAGTTTTCTATCAGTAAAATTCATTGTTCATATGCTAATATTTCTAATTCATATTCTAATATAATAAATAATATATAAACTGAAATCAAAATAAGAAACACGATTGATATCTAATTTCTTTATAAACCAAAACTTTTCATATTTCCATATAGTTTATCTTTGGATAGAAAATGCAGAATAGATGAAATCACTCCTATGATATATAAATGAAAAGAAAAAATGTAGTATATCTTATTAAATATAGAAATCACAAAAATAATATTAGCATATGTGGGCTGTCCATATTCGAGAACAGATGAATTATTCTAAACCAATCAACATACTATAGTATTTATAATAGGTGAAATGGAAAATGAATCAAATGGGAAAAAAAAATTAAGGTGAGGTGACACTTATATTGAAATAAAAATATTTTCAAGAATTAGGTCATGAAAAAGGTTTGAACTTACTTTTATATAATAAAAAAAATTACATATAAATTTATTAATTTTGATTTTTTTAATTCTATATTTAGTTAATTACACCGCTGAAATATATTTTATATAGTAAGGAAATTTGCTGACATTAAAACAATTTTTGTCAGATCAGGACTCCATTGAAGATCGCTTCTCCTCCTCCGTTACCCTGACCGATCTCGGACCTCCTATCACCGGGAAAATCACCCACCCAATCCTCCCGCCGATCATCATCACGTAGAAAACAGAGTCAACAACAATGACTTCAGGTTTCAGCGGCGACGAAACCGCTCCCTTCTTCGGCTTCCTCGGCGCCGCCGCAGCTCTCGTCTTCTCCTGTAATCCTCCGATTTCGTTTCTCCCGCGAGAATCTCTGTCGTTGAATTTCGAATCTCTGTCTCTTATGGTCGATTTGAATCTTAGGTATGGGAGCAGCGTACGGGACGGCGAAGAGCGGCGTCGGAGTGGCGTCAATGGGAGTGATGAGACCGGAGCTGGTGATGAAATCGATTGTTCCGGTTGTCATGGCCGGTGTTTTGGGTATCTACGGCTTGATCATCGCCGTCATCATCAGTACAGGGATTAACCCTAAGGCAAAATCTTACTACCTCTTCGATGGCTATGCTCACTTGTCTTCTGGTCTCGCTTGTGGCCTCGCCGGTCTCTCCGCCGGTATGGCCATCGGGATCGTCGGTGACGCCGGTGTTAGGTAATTTAATCGAAACTGTGATGTCTTTTACATAGATTTAGACAGCTTGTTTGGGTTTTTGAAGATTTGGATCTGGGTTTTGGAGTTTTGTTGCTTTTCATGCTAAGATTTGAATGCTTTCTGTTGGCCGAGTTATCTCAACTGAATTGTGGGATATACTTTGTGGATTAAACAATTGAGAAGAATCCGGATGGCATTCAATCCTTTTGCTGAGATAGACTGTTTTGGGTTTGGAGATTCGAATTTGGGTTTATGCTAGAGATTTGAATGCTACATACATGTCGGTAGACCCCTGAATCGTCTACACAAATTTATGGGGTTTCCCTTGTGAAAACAGAGCAATTTGAGTATGAGTAGAACGGTTGTTCGATCATGTCATTGAAGAAGGCTTTTTTTCTACCTCAGTAAACATGAAACATGGAATGGTTTAGCAGATTAAATGGCTTTGTAGTTGTCTTGTTGGCAATTGGTTTGGAAAATGGTTTCATTCATCTAGTCAATTTGTTTGTGTCTTTACCAACTAATTGAGTTTATGGGACATGAAACTGTGAATTAGCAGTCTTCATAACATTTGGCTAAGCAGATCGAATTTAGACTTATATCGAGAGTTTCCAAACACCATCTTTACCTTAGTCTCTTTCTGTGTTTCTCTCGATATCCAATGTTCAGAAAGCTCTGGATGTTTTCCTCCAAAGTATTACAAAACCCAGTAACTTAGAACAGCATGTAGTACTTGTGATGTTTCCCGAAATTCTGTGATTCTTTAATGATCCATGAGATTACTGTGAACTAAAGGTGCCTCTAAAGTTCCTTGCAGAATGAATCTCTAACATTTTGATGCAGAGTTCACGGGGAAAGGAGAAAAAAAACATATATTTTCATTTGGAACCATGTTTTTTCATAACAAATCTTCAAGGGTTTAATTGTATGGTTATATTTTGCTTGTGATCTCTTGCAGAGCAAATGCCCAGCAACCGAAGCTCTTTGTCGGGATGATTCTCATTCTTATCTTTGCCGAGGCGTTGGCTTTATATGGTTTGATTGTTGGGATCATCCTCTCTTCCAGGGCCGGTCAGTCGAGAGCCGACTGAGATGCATATAATCCCCCATGCCATGCCAAGGTGATTTGATGAGACTTGCTATGCATTCGGATTCCAATTAGGATGTGTCTGCATAAAAAACTTATAACCATGCCTTCTTCTTTTTGCCTATTTTCCATCTTCTTGGATGTGAAGCTGTATTTCCATGCATAGATCCATGTTTAATGGATAATATAAGCGTGTATTGATGCCTTGATTTGTGTGAAATCATATCATGGATTCTCTGTGTTGCCTAAAAAAATAACTTGGTATCTTGGAAATCATAATACTATGTTGTTCTAAACAATGATGCCAATATTGATAATTTTCACACTTCTGTAAGTATTGTTAGGATCCCGCATCTTGTAACACTATCGGTATCTTCCCATTGAAAGCTAGTTTTTGGAGTGTGAGTTCTATCCGTTTTGAGAGTCTATTATGGGGCAGTAGGATCTATCAGAATGATACATAATCCATTTGGGTCCCTCGGGTCACCGATATTCATTACTGTGCCTCGGTTGCACATTTGTTGTTCGGTTCTTTCCCTCGGGGAGAGCATTGGGATCGTTGTCTCCTTGGTCTAACTGTCGGGTAACTTGCATCAGTCGACCGTACCAATCGAGGCTCTCTCTGCTGGTTCAATGCCTGATTTTTGTTCACTTGGATGGATGGATGGATAAAACCGTTGATGGATGATTAGTTTCTGTTTTTTGCTGTCGGATTATTATTCCTTGCCTCATGACATGAAATTGGATGTTGGTTTTGTTCATGGTCGTCCTGCCCGTGCGTGAATAGTTGATTCAAACGGGACATGGCCAAAGTTAAGACCCTGCGACGGACAAAGGGTTCGTTTCGGTTATAATTAATTCGAGATCGATTATTTTGGATTATGAAAATTCATAACTAATCGTTTAATTAATTTTTATTCGGTTCAGTTTTGTTTTGATTCGGTTTGGTTCGGTTAAATTATAATATTTAAAAAACTAATTAATTTATAATAAAAAATATTCAAACAAAATATAATATAAAATACTATCATTACTATTTTAATCTATATAAAAATAAAATATGAATTAATGTTTTAACATAAAAATAACTAAATAAAAATATTACATAAATAAATGTTCTTCTCTTCGAATGTTTGTATCACACAAATTTTGAAAATAATAAAATAGTTCTACAATAAATAAAAAATAATAAAAAACAATGTTTAAATTAGAAATACATGCATACATATATATAAATTTGTATAAATGTGGATATATAAACGGTTCGATTCTAATTAAGTTATTTCGGGTTTTAAAAAATTATAACCAATCGATTTTTTGATTCGGTTCTGTTAATAACCGAAATATATTTATTCAGTTTGGTTCGGTTACTAACCGAAATAACCGAGACAAATGCTAACCCCTAATGGATATAATGTAGTTAGGACAAAAATAATTGATTTTCATGTATCTCTCTCGTAGGTTAGATATTCAAAAATTTGAGTATTCGAGGTATGAGATATGGTTTAACAAGATTGAGTAGCCGACCGTTAGATCCGAGTTCAAAGTTTCCGATAGTTCGGGCCAATGATCTGTCGATATTAAAAAATTATAATATATATACGGTTAAATTATAAAAAATTATATATATATATATATATATCAGTTATTTTTAACATATTTATGAAATTATCATTATTTTTATAAGTTTATACGGTTAAATTTTAAAATTGCTCTCTTTCGAACCGTCTCGTTTTATCTCGTCTTGTCTTCGTCATCGGATATGTCTCCTAAGACGAGACATTTAGATATTCGTCGTCTCAAGATAATTCATATACACTTTAAACATAAACCTAAGTATTAGGTGTATTTTTTCTTCGGTAAAGCCTAAGTATTTAGATGTTTGTCCTAACCATTTAGATATTCGTCGTCCTAAACATATACCTAAGCATTTATGTATTTGTCGTCTAAAAAAAAAACTCGTAGATACCTAAACATTTAGATATCCGTGGATAATACAAAAAATCTCATATAACTAATCTATATATAATATTAGTTAGATAAATGTTTTTTTTAAAGAACGCTTAAACAAATTTTTACTATAGCTGAATCAATAAAAAAAATCCACTAATTTTACTAGAAATGACTTATTTGATTAATAACCGAATAATCGAATCAATCCAAATTGAATAATACATAATTGTAACCAAAGTTATCCGATATAAAATTTGAATAGTTATCATTTGACTATTCAAATTTATTAAAAATTCGAATACATATATATACAATACATACATATCATCATTCAAAAAAAAAAAAAAATCAGAAAACCATTATACCCATCTACACACTTATAAACACATATATAAAATTGTTTATACGTATAATGTAATTTGTATATACAATAGAAGATCCATAAAATTTTATAAGAAAATAATTTTATAGAGATAAAAATTTTATTTTTTTAGAGCATTTGACAGTTCTATTTATAATTAAAAATAATTTTTTAGTTAATTAAATAGGTCCTATTAACGAAAGTTAATTTTGGTATTATATATTTTCAAGAGTACCAGAGCTACGGGAAATACGGTTTTCAGTATTTGACTTGAAGTGGGGCCCAGTTTCTTTCTCCTTTGTCAAACACGTCAGCGAACACGTCACGCGACTGTATAAAAGCATGTTCTTCGCGCGGTCCTTCAAGTATACGAGTACGCGGGAGAGAAATCCGATCCCGTGCTAAATTCAGTGAACTTTTCCGTTCAATCTCCGGTGAGTTCGGTGAAATTTTTTGTGTTCTTTGATTATTGTGCCGAGTTTGAATCGTTTGTCGACGAGAATGGCGGAGGAAATCAGCAAGGACGGCCTCAGAACTTCTGCCGATGCCACCGCCGGAGCGACGGATTATTCCGCAGCGGCGGGATCGAGATGGAATATGCTGTGGCCGACTGCTCTCCAGTGGGCCCCTACCTCCAATGACCACATCATCGCCGCCGAGAAGCGCCTCCTCTCCGTCGCCAAGTACCTCTCTCTCTCTCTCTCTCTCTCTCTCTCTCTCTCTCTGCTTCGTGAATTTTGATTATTAGGAGGTTTCTGAAATTCGAATGAGATACGAGATATTGGGAATTCCTGACGTTTTTTGTTTTCTAAACTTAAGAGAATGAATATCTTAATCCGTTCTCTATTCGATTCGAAGGCTCTATTATATAAGATAACAGAAGGAGAAACTCGCGTGAGTTCTCAAAAATCTCTCTGCTTTGTGAATTTGTGCTTGAGAAAATCTTTAAGTCTCTCGTTTCATTTTCCATGTATAGTGATTGGGGTCTGTGAAATGAGAGAAGTAGAGCGTTTTACCATGATCAACAGAATTGTGGCTGAATTTGGAGTGCTCAAAAGCTTGATGTTCGGATTAGAATCTTGATTTCTGCAAATAGATTTGAAACTGATGGATTTTTGTTGAATGCGGGTACATCCTGAGTTGCAATAACACATGTAAACGGAAAAGGTCACTGTAGTTTGATTTCAGGAGCAAATTTAGTTACATATGTACTAGTTAGCAATGACAACTCTTTGTGTGAACATGATCAATCTCAGGACCCCATACGTTCAAGAACAGGTCAACATTGGTTCAGGCCCTCCCGGGTCCAAAATCAGCTGGTTTCGTTCCACGAGCAATGAGCCACGTTTCATCAACACAGTTACCTTTGATGCCAAGGAAGGTTCTCCAACACTTGTGATGATTCATGGATTTGGTGTATCTCAAGGATTTTTCTTCCGGAATTTCCATGCGCTTACCAGTCGTTTTAGGGTTATCGCTATTGATCAGCTCGGGTAAGCGGCTTGAAAGTCATCTCTTTCTTGGTTTGTGTTTTTTTCCCGCTTTTAGTTCAACCGAGCCATGATTTTCCTTCCTGAAAGTTGTAATCTTTGGGCTTGTCTTTGCTTAATCCGTTGAAGGACTGCCTTTCAATGTCTTTGCCTGAAGTTGTTTAGTTAGTGTTGGACTGAACCAATGATCCAAGGGATGTTCTACTGTCTTTGTTTTTATACATGTTATCATTATTCAACCAGGAAAATCGGTAGAATATCTAAATATCCTGATAATTACACTGGTTTTTCGCCATTTCTTGTCAGTTTTGGCGGATCGAGTAGACCTGACTTTACATGCAAGAGCACTGAAGGTAATCAATTTTTTCATTTGAAATATCAGAAAAATGATAACCGACACTACTTTCCTCAACCATTTTCTTGTTCGCTTGTTTAAAGTTGTAGCACCAGTAATGTTCATACCCTTTATCGTTTTTCTTGTTATGCAGAAACCGTGGCATGGTTTATTGATTCCTTTGAGGAATGGCGTAAAGCTAAAAACCTCAGCAACTTTATACTCTTAGGATATTCTTTTGGAGGCTACGTCGCCGCCAAGTATGCACTTAAGGTGAGTTCTTGTCCCTTGTCGTCCGGGATTTGACGAGCAGAAGGTTTCTGTTGTGGGGTTACGGTTTTTAACATTTTCCTGTTTCATGTCCATTGTTGTAGCATCCTGAGCATATTCGACACTTACTATTGGTGGGAAGTGCTGGTTTTTCATCAGAATCAGATGCCAAATCTGAGGATTTTACTAAATATAGAGCAACATGGAAAGGAGCGATTCTTAACCTTTTATGGGAGTATAATTTCACTCCTCAAACGGTGGTCAGGTATGTTGCTTATAAGTACGTTTCGTGTTCTTCCGGCTTATTTTAAAGTTCCCTTATGGCGATATATACAAAAAAAAAAATCTTGACATGGATCTGAAAATTGGGTGAGCGTTTATGCATGACAACATCCACGCTCCTATGGATCATTGTTCAAATTACTGGCAATGTTGCGTTTGTTGAAATTTCTAAATATCCCTTTGATGCAGAGGATTTGGTCCTTGGGGCCCAGGTCTTGTATATCGGATTACAACTGATAGATTCGGTGCACATTCCTTGGGAACCGTCTTGACAGACGAGGAATCCAAATTGCTAACCGGTTAGTCCGATTTTTCTGTTTCCTTCACATGGCACCACATCTGATAATTGTGATGCTGTTAAAAGCTGATGGATCTTTTTTTGTTTGTTTTGCAAATTGAAGATTATTTGTACCATACATCGGCTGCGAAAGCAAGTGGAGAACTGTGTATGAAATATATCTTCTCCTTCGGAGCATATGACCGGAAGCCCCTCGGAAAAAGGTATAATCTCCTTCCAAAGATTACTTCACGGTTTCGGAAATTCTTGGCTATCAAGTCTTGTTTGATCCCGTTTTCGTTGCAAGAA